TTTTGAAGGTGGAGTTTTGATAAGAGAGAAATATTCTTTCAATTCTCCTCGTGTTCAATAAATAATATTAATTCTCATTTTAATATTTAATAAGTAAATAATTAATGTCACCTGGATAAAGCAAGTAAAAACTGGAACACATCGAATGTGTGAACAGCTAACATGTATACAGTGTTCTGGGCGCCGCATCCTTCGTCCGCGAATCGCGAAATTGCCGCGAACCATGGCCTCCTGGCGTTTCCTGCCGATTAAAATGCGTCGCTCGAGTAACGCCAACCGTTCTATGCATCTATCGGCAAACCTATTGATTATTTGCTCGCGTTCTCTACGCGTTGTCCACTTGCAAGCCGATTCATTACTGCGCCGAAATGGTCACACGGCATTGAGATTTCGCGAGGAACGACAAACTCGTGTCATGTTGCACGCGCCTTTGGTACCATTTGATTCGATGCCTGATACGTACACCATGTTCTAGTAGCAGAAAGTGAAATTTTATTTGTATATTCCTTGAGTTCGAAAAGTGGCTTCTTCTGAAACTATAGTCAATACCGTGTAATGTACAAACTTGAATCGCCTACTTTAATGCTCTCAGTTGCAATAAACTAATAATAACTTCCATGATAAAAAAACTATTATCTTCAGAAATGTTAAATCAACCGTTACAACGTTGCGAAAAGGGCATTACAAACATACAGAATTTTTGCTGAACATCGAAGCAACAAGTGCGAAACGATTGATCGTCCAACATTAACCGAAAATTAAGGTGCAATCATTCTGTACGTGAATTCCGTTGCAAAAACATGCCGTTTTGAAAACGACAGGATAGTCAATCGATCGTTCATTAAAGCCACAGAATTCAACGATAGTATGCGGTATCCAGATTCGCCAGGACGATATGCAACGGAAACGCGTAATTATTGTGAATCGGAGTTGCATACTCGACCGTAATGGATACCGTTACCAGTGGAGAGCGATCATTACTCATAATGAGACCGTCGGCTGGTTTTATCAATTATTTTCGTGTAGCAAACACCGCGCGAATAAAGAGCCTCCTACGGAAACCGTTTTTTTGTCCGTCGATTATTAACGGCCGCGGTTCGAGCGACGCATTCGAGTGCCAGAATCGGGTCAGCGAATAGTTATGAATAATATATTTATGATGTTTTTCTGGTGCGCGGTCCAAACGCAGCGCTGACCCACATTCCCATCCGATTAAACGCACCGTGATTTTATTGCAGATCAAGGCTGTCGGGACGTATGATCCTGCGTTATTCTGGTTTACTGAACCTCTATGTGAGATATCGATATCGATATCGATAGAATCGATCACCGGGCACCCATTATCGTCGGCCGTAATCGCGAATGCAAATTTAAGATGGTCGCCACGGGTAAATATTGTTTTCGCGGGCTGGTTTTTGCCGGTGCTACGAACGGACAAGCGGCTGCCGCGGTCGCGGGGGCTAATTGGAGCGCCGGTAAATATGATCGCGGTTCACGCGACCGATGTCTACAATTATCGATTAACCCAGCTCGCAAATTTTATTCGGAACAATGGCGCGGAATAATGAACTCCATGGGGAAACGATTTGTCGCGGATCACTGGAAATTAGCTGGTTCCTGTATCCAAAGGCCACGGTCTAGCACCAACGTTGAGCTATCGGGCAAGTCTAATAATTGAGAATTATTCGGGGACCGCGGGACGAAAAACAGAAAAATTCAATGATAAAATGACGGACAGCGGGGTGATTATTCTTCAATCAATTGTAATGTTATATATTCCAATGACTAGTGCATAGAAAATAAAATATCTTCGCATTGAGCGCCACCCCTCGTCGGTCACTTCTAGAAATTTTATAACAGGTCTGCGGCCGCGACTTTTATTATGTTTAACAATTTTGTTAGAAATATTATAGTTCAAATAAAGATGCACATCAATTGAACATCAATTTTATTTGTTGAAATGTCAATTTTGATCTATTCCCTACCGGAAATCATAACTGCGAATCTTCCTGTTTCGTTGATTTTGCCAGGAAGTCAGGAAAGTTAATACCCGTTCCATAATTGAAACTTCTACCCGACCGGGGTTGAAGTTTGTACTGTACCGAACGACAGCTTCTTTTATCGTTTAATAACGTTGGGCCGGACTCGTCACCAGGAGACCGTGATTCATGTTGCTCCGGGAAGTTCTAACTTCCGGGAAACTTGCTCTACTGGGTCGAACAGTGGAGACCAGAGTTTCGATCGTTTCGAACGTTAAAATCGTTATGCTTGTTCTTATTTTATCGTGGCTTATTCACGCTTCTTCGTTCTTCGATGAACATATTCTCGTAAAAATGCACTTTGGATTTCTTATTTCAGTTATTTTAAGAACTAATAAGATATCTTTATGGAAAATTATTAAATAAATTCATTCACTCCTCTTCTATCCTTTAAGTCCCTTGTAATCTTTATAAAACATCAAAGACTTTCTATTACCGATTCACTTTCATTCTGTCTTTCCAATATTAACCGTATATCGAACAATCATTCAAAAGCATAATAAGAGAATTACAGTCTTCCTTTTTGAACTAACTGCATAGATTAGAGTCAAGTTAACTATTTTATAAATGTTCTCTTTTACTTTACTTCGCTTACATTTCATCCAACCTTCTTTACGAATACTTTCGCGATTCACCGTCGTGTAAAGGTTTTCCATGTCACCAATCATAACGTAGTAACACTCTACGGAACGATAATAGTGCGCGACGTCGAAGGGGTGGATTCTCGTGCGAGAAAGGGACGTCGCGGCGGCATACGCGAACCCTCGATCACCCACGACGATTCGTGAGACCAGCGAATGAAGTAATCGCAGCGCAATGGCAGCGGTAATTAGCAGTTGCCGCGATCCGCCGGAAATTACTGCGTCCCTCGGAATACCGTGCGAACCTCGGGTGTCTATGCAGTCATTATCGGTAGCTGTATCGACACGTTACGACGTCACGTAAGAACCGAGGCACGCGAAACATCCCGAAAATCGAGCCGGTTTCATTTGTCGTTTCGTTCGAGCCGATAGTAACTTTTCCAATCACGTAGTTGTCGATTCCGCGGTAGAACTACATAGTGCTAGAAAGTTGCGACGCGATCTCTAACGCATGCATCTTAAACCACCCTCGTATTAGTCGAAATATCTTTCGCTTCGAAACTTCTTCGCAATGCATTCAGCTAAATAAACATCGATTTTCCCTAAAAAAAAACAAATTCGCGACTTCAGTAACCGTAAAAAGGGAAAAGCGGAAATCCAAGATTCCCGCAAGTCCCGAATTTCGCAGACATATTGAGAGTATGGAAATCAGCGTGGATAAGGCGATCGATGAAAGGTGCAGTACGCCTTTTTATTTTCCGAAATCTCCGCGAGACCGTGTACCATAAGAAACTTATTTTATTGAAAAATTCAAAGAGGAATTTGATAGGGGATAAAAGTTTTACGCCGGGCTGCGTACCGACACGGTCCGCAAAGGGTTGAAGGAGAGTCCGTTATCTATGAGGAACATCTTTTCACCGAGAAAAAAAAATGGACCCTCTTATCAACGAGCCGCCTTAGTGCTTTAACGAAGTAATACGAGCGGCAAGGGCAGCGAGGACCTCTCGCGGACCCTTATCGTCGTCTGGCTGCTCGCCTTTTTGCCTCTGCTCTCCTTTCCCTCTATCGGCATGCATTCGAGG